AATATTTTGGTGTTTCCTGAAACCATAGTTCAAAGGAACATTCGCAATGTTCCTTTTTTATGATGGATTGGCGCAGTTTATTGGACTTCTATTGGATTATTGAATATCAACATCCATTCACTGCTATTATAAAGCTTGGAAGAGCCAGGGCATTTTTTAAATATAACTCCAATTGAATTCGTCTGAAAGAAGAAAGTCATATACACCTAGGATGGCTTGAGGGTGAGTAAATCATGGGGTAATTTTCATTTTTGGGTGACATTTTTGATAATTTTCGATAGAGAATGAGGAGATACGTCACAATGTTTTCACTCCGCATTGCATTTCGGGAAGGCGTCACCATATTAGCAGGATATGCTAATTGTTGCCATGGTTACTTCGACAGTGAGACCAAGAGAAAGAGCAACAGAGAGAGAGAGCAGCTTGATATTAGTTTGCATTTTCGCGATATGGCACAGTTTCTTGGGAAGAAATGGAGGAGAAAGTGAAAGGAAAGGGGCTCTATCGGGAGAGACTAAATAACACCGCCAAGCAGCGTTATTTAGAGAAACTGCTTAACATCAACAACATCGACCTGTACGAGCTGCCAGCTACAGAATGGACGAAAGACTCAGAAGCTCTACCACGTTTCCTATGGATTAAGATAATGATATTGAAAGTTCATATTTTGGAAAAAAATCTGTTTTTCTGCACATAGCATGCTTTATTAGTAAGGTGTGTACAGAATGTGGTCTTTTAATATCACTGTCTCTGTGCATTAAGCGTTTTCTTTATATGAGAGGAAAATGCTTAAAGTGTGAAATAATGCGTTGCGTTCACATTTTGGGATTATATGCGTATGTGCACATAATATGCTTTACAGTTTTGTCTTTATCACTATTAATCACTTTATCACGTTAAGGCACATTAAGCATTATTCGTGTTCAGCATTTCAGAAAGTCCCTGTTCAAGTTCTGCTAATTCACAAGCCGACTGAGAGTTATTCTCGCAAAGGTAATGTTAATTACTAAAGCAAACTAAATCAAAACTTTCAAAAACACCCAGCAATGTGATTCTTTTATTGAGTTATAGGCAATGGGTTTAATCAGTGATATTATCAATAGATTTATTTCTTCTTGTCATCTCCACGACCTGCTTCCCTTGTTGTTTTTACACATAGAAAAGGCGAAAAAACATATTACATTGTCCAGTTTTCTCTCAGAATGATGATCTGAGTTAAAACAGGCAGTGTGGTGCACCTCGCGTTTTCAAACCTGAAAAACGCATTCTGTCTGATCGGGGCCTAAATGAATCTGCGGCAGTACAGTGGTCACGTGGTACAAGTCTTAAGCTGCCTTCACGCTATGTCGTAATTACCGAAATTCTGAGATGACAACACGTGACATTATACTTGGAGCTGAATTATGTGTTTCTATGGCAACACTATCAACGCCAAAGCCTTCACATGCTCCAGAACTCGTAATTACAACTTGTAAGCTCGGAATGTTCTGAGAGTTACGAATTGGACCATGTGACAGCTGTACCACCTGACTGCCGACAGATTCATTTAGGCGCTACCTGAGTCCGAGGACATGGGCAGCTCCGAGTAGAACGTCATGTGTTTTCAATTTGGAATTACGGTAATTACGACATGGCGTGAAGGCAGCTTTAGATTCGTAGCTCTCAGAAAATCCCCAGTTTACAAGTTGTAATTAGGAGTTTTATGAGGCCGTAAATGCATTTTACAAGTTAGAATCTGAGATTGTCTTTTTATTGGGAGATGCGAGGGTCTGTAGTACTTACCATTAGAAAAAGCATAACGGCTAGCTAACTTGGATCACATGAGGCACCTCAGCCAATCATACAATAGCCTCTGGTCTCCTTTCCCGCGTACCGCTAAAGCCGCAGCGTTAGCATTACATGCTTACATGCTACATCATTAAAGACAGTCATATATTTTGAACCAATGTGGTTCAAACGACGGAGCTGTCAGAATGTTACTATGGTTTCAGGAAACAGTCGTTACTAGTTGGTTAGTTTCTCCAGTGATGCATCATACAATGGTAGTTAATAATCAGAGAGTCACAGCATTGCATGGAAAATGCAGCCCAGCTCAACAAGCCGCACAATTTGAGGTATCATTCATTTCATAAAAAAAAAAACTTTCCTAACATAAGAATATGACATGCTTCTTATTATCAAAACTTCTCAGACAACTGCTTTTATATTTATATTCTTTACTGTTTTTGTTATTCGTTTGATTTTGCTAAAAGGTACTGCCCCTTTTTATACCTCAGTTTACCTTCACTTTATTGAATATTTCGACAGTGATATTTATAATATTGAATATTTAATATAAAAAAAGATATTGCTACATTTTAACATCAGCATCTTGATCCTTTTTGCAGTTATATGCTCGATTTCCAGCTGATACTTGAATGCGCTGTTAAAACTCGGCACGAGATGCACATGCTCTATAATGTCTGATTGTACTCGCAAAGTTTCCCGTCAGAAAATAAACAAGTGAATCCAGTTGTGAACAAGGTGCACGTTGATGTGAAACATTTAGTGTAGTTTGGGATATTGTGGGAGTGAGATGAATAAATGTTGGATTTGCGGATGAATATTAATAGGTAATGATCTCTCTCCTGAGATCATTACAAAAAGGCACCTGCATAAATATACATGACAGTTCACTAAACACATAAAGCAGACCTCAATTCTGACATTTAAGCAGATCCTACTGTATCATTACTGCTAATTCCAGCCACTAGTGTGTGATGCTACATATCTGCAGGTATAAATGGAGATTTAAGTACAGGCTTCTAGATATGCAAGTTAAATATTGTTTCTACCAACAATAGAAAGTTATGATACAGAATGTCAGATTTGAGAGGGGAAACACAAGCTCTGATCCAAAACCTAGTGAGCTGCCTACACCCTACATAGGTAGCTACCTTCTAAGGCAGCATGCTAACTGAATTAGAATCTCATGAGATGTTCTGTATATGCAGAAGCTGTCATACAAATGATCAACAATGCAATGATCAACAAATGGGAAATTCGCAATCATTTTCAATACAGATGACATGAGAGGAACTTAAATACTGTATTTAAGTGTTTCTTCAATTTTTATGTCCCAGGGGTTGATTTTCAACTAATAGCTGTCAGAATTTTTTTGTTTTGTTTTTTTGTTATATGACAGTCACAATAAAACTGACTTGGAAGCATTTTACTTTTTTTTTTTTTTTGCAACTGTTCAGATGTATTTTACAGTATTTCTATAGTTGTTGTGTGAAGATATATCAGTTTTTCAGAAAACTTTCGACTGTCCCACAGTTGTGGTGTCATTTCCACCACATCAAACAATTTTGTTCCTAATTTATTATCAAAAATACTTGTACTTGGTTACTAAGGAGACAACAGTGTCAGTTGATAGCTTGAGGTGAAATCAGATGTTACAAAATAAAGGGGAAAAAAGCAAGGTAAACATCACTTCTAAGCAGAGCAATTTAGCTTTTTTTTTGCCCAATTTCCGATCAAGCTGTAATTTTGTCAAATTATCCAAAAAGTGTGAAATATTTCATTGTGTTTACCTATGATACATAAAATGCTAGCTGCAAATTTAGGCTTAGTAAAACAAAAGAGTCTGTCATTTTATTCCAAATGTCAAAATGTCCTTTCCATCCCAGAATGTCATTAAGCATAATATATAATTTGAGATGTGCTGGAAATGACAGTCTGGTGGAAATTAATTTCATTTTTCAGGAAAAAGAGACATTGTAAATGGACTAATTAAGGGCTATTTTCTAAAAGTCCACAGGGTCGAAAGCGCATATAGTTAAAGGGGACATCGGATACCCATTTTCCACAGGTTGGTATGATTCTTTAGGGTCTTCATGAAACGTCTGCAACATACTTTGGTTAAAATTCCTTAATGAATTCCTTAATTCCTTAAACCGTTTTTACCTTGTCAAAAACAGCTCAGTTTACAGCGAGCCGTTTCGAATGCATGTCTCTAAATGATAATGGGCTACAGCTCACCCCTCTTCCGTTTTTTGTGTATTCAGTGGCGCATTACCACCAAAAACTAAACTAATCCATTGCGTCCTCAGTGGCACTGATGTGGGGAGAAAATGAAGACTGTTTCACACTGCAAGCAAAAATAGAGTTGGTGCCGAAACCATTGCTTCAGTGCTGCTCACGCGCTGCTCCTGCTCGAGTGCGGAGAAAATGGCAGACCATTGCTTCAGTGCTGCTCACGCGCTGCTCCTGCTCGAATGCGGAGAAAATGGCAGACAGTGTACAACTGGCTGAGGGCGGAAATATGCTAATACGGGACAGTCTGTGGGCGGGGCCTGAGCAGTATGACGTCATACTGCTCAGAAAATCAAAACGGCTTGATAATTGAGAGTGTTTTTGTTTTTCGAGGATTAAAAAAAGGAGTGAACAGATTTTTATCATTGTAGGGTGGTTGTGTCCACACACTGCCAAGACACATTATATGCAAACACTATGTAAAAGTGAATTTTGCATCCGATGTCCCCTTTAAAGAAGCATTCATTCAATACAATTCGAATGTTTGGGGTGAGTAAGATTTTTTTGTTAATTAACAAAAAAATTAACGCTTTTATTCAGCAAGGATGCATTAAATGAATCGAAAGTGACAGTAAAGACATTTATAATGTTGTGAAACTTCTATTCAAAGAATCCTGGAAAAAAAAATGGGTCATGGTTTCCACAAGAATATTAAGCAGCACAACTGTTTTCAACATTGATAAGAAGAAATGCTTCATGAGCAACAAATCAGCTTATCAGAATAATTTATGAAGGATTACTGATTTGATGAAAGAAATAAGAGATAAAAAAAAATATTATATATATATATATATATATATAACAACCCCAAACTTTTGAATGGTAGCCTATAGTAATTTTAGATTTTTTTAAACACTTTTCAATGTGAAATAATTTTATATACATATTTATAATCAGCATTTTCTCTCGTTTCACTTGTCGTCTTGGATTTTTTCACTGAATTTGTTGCAATGCATTATAGGACTGCAATCTCTTTAAAGTCTGTCTGCTGTCTTTGGTGAAAACGAGGCGTTTTAAGCCTTTTGAAGCAGGCTTTGTGTTGGAAACGTGCATAGAATGCTTTTCAGTGCTCACTAGGTTTTGCAAAAGAGCAGTAGTATGCACTATTTAAATGTTGTCATATGCATAAAACATATATACAAACACTATTTCCCACAGTGAAGATGAAACCCATCAGAAGCAGGACTCGGGCACAGGTCTCTGTCTGCCAAGTGAAGTGCTGCTGTATCTGATTCTCTGTAGTGTTGCATAGGAGGATTTATCTACCGCAAGTCCTTTATGGGGGGCCGGCACCAATGGACCGTTTCTTTGGAGAGACAGCGTCCTTTTCAAAGTCATATCTAGCCTGCTCTGAATATTGGATGAGCTGTGGGCGCGTTTTATATCAGCTGTGCTCGAACAAACCTGGTTTTCTCTGCCGTTAACCACTTTACTGGTGCCCTTGTGAGCGGTGCCGGTCTTCCTCACCTCAATGCCCTTTCCATTTAGAGTCCCATTGGATAGAGACAGTTTGGTCAAGCTCTTGCTGGAAAGCGTCTTCCCGTGACCCACCTCCTTATCCTGCAGTCTGGCGGTCTGCAGTCTGATGATGGTGCCGTCTTTACTCCTGCTTTCCCCCGTGGCCGTCTGAGACTGGCTGGGATGAGTCCTGCTAGTCGTTGCCGCCTGGTTTCGTAGCTGTTTTAACGTGGAGTCTCTTGAATGAGATGCACTGTTGCTAGTACCGTTGAAAAGCACAGTAGGGGAACTTTGAAGTGACTTACTGGCCTGAATCCTTTCGTGCTCCTGTCTGCTTTTTGAACTGCTTTTGGCCAACGAGCCATTGGATGTGACGCCGTTAAGATCCGATGCTGGTCTGCTCTGGCCTTCGGGCAGTCTGGGTGAATCCGGACCTTGATAACTACTTCGCTCCACACTACTGCTACAGCTAGGGGAACTCAGAGAATCGTCCTTGCAAAGCTGGGCTTTGACCTGTGAAGGACTAGCCACGATACTTACTATGGGCTCCTTGGTACATCGAGGCCGCCGGCCGGACTCAAGGTACTCCACCAGCTCGTCATTTCCGATTTTTGGAGTGACGCTGGAGGGCTTTCTGCGGTCCTTAGAAGCAAATGACCAGCGCAGTGGAAGAACTTTGCTTGGGCCCGTCTTGGATTTGGAGTGGTAGCGCATACTCATACTGTGGCCCCGGACGCTTCGTACAAAAGGCGTCGGCTCAATTACATCTAAAAGCAGAAAACGGAGGACTAGTAAGTCATATTTAATGCGTGCATCCCAAAATCGCAATAAGCTGTTTGTAGAGAATGTTCCCTTTCAGTCGGTCACTCTCGACGTCACGTCGGATGACCAACGATTTTTTATTAAATTAATTTGTACGTCTCAGCTCAAATTAATTTTATTTCAAATTTTATTGCTAAATTCAAACAATAAATGTTGTTTGTTTTAAACATTGTAAAATCGTGAATACATTGTTAAATATATGTACTACATTATAAATGCGTTAAATGTTCTTGTACAATAAGTTCCCATTAGTTAACTTTAATGCATTAACTAACATTAAATAACAATGAACAATACGTTTGTTACAGTATTCCTTAGCCTTTGTTAATGTAAGTTAATAAAAATAAAATTTTACATTTTTAGTTCATGTTAGATCAGGTCCATTACTTAATATTAACAGATGCAATTTTTTCATTTGAACAATGTATTAGTAAATGTTGAAATTACCATTAACAGATTAATGAATGCTTTAAAACTATTGTTCATTGTTAGTTCATGTTAATTAATGTAGTTAACCAAAGTTAATAAATGAAACCTTATTGTAAAGTGTTACCAGTTTTCCTTAACCTGTTCATGATTATGTAATGGATATTTGAACAAAACTAATTCTGAAAAAAAGTTTGCAATCAAAAGTTACGACAGTCACTATTTCATTTTATTTCATCTTAAAACATAAGTATATCATTAAAAAGGCAGAGAATTTCCTTTTTCCATTTAGTGCGCAAAACAACTCAAGTCAAAATGATTTAAAATCATTCAAAACCCACTTGAAAACTAATTTGCCACTTGTTCCCTGAAGATTTTCCTGTAGGTTTTTTTTTTAAATAGGGTTTTTCACTTAATGAGTAAAGCAAGGTCTGTGGTAAATATAAATTGATGATACTTGGATGTTTTTCTTAAGGGAATCTTGAGGCAACCCATGACAAACTGGTCTTCTGGGTTTTGACATCATGGCTGCAAAACTCTATAGAAGTAGTGGATATACAGCAAGAATATACTGACCACTGTCTTCATTTTGAGGCTCATGGATGATAGGAATGTGTGGTGTCTGGGGCTCTGGAGCTGAAGATGAATTGGACAGTTTGCTACTTGAATTTGATATTTGTTTGTCTGCGTTCAGTTGGATGAGCCAGTGATCTGATGTAGAGGAGCTGGGGGAACCTGTGGGTCAAAAGTAGCTTACTTAGTCAAAACGCTGTTGGGTTTTTCTGATAACAGACTGAACTGCACATGTAGCTGAATGCTAGCTATTTGGAAATAAGTAAACAGACTTATTTCATGCTTTATGGTGAAGCATTTTGTGCTAAAGTGCATGTAAATAACAGGGACCGGTTCTCACTTTGCTGTAGCTTTTGAATCTGGGAGGCTCGTCTCCATTAAACACTCATGAAGATGAGATGGAATGGATCCAACAAGTATTACCGTATGCATACAAATGATCACAAGATGTTGGCAGACTGCTGGTGCAACAACCTTACAAAACAGACCTGAGTTACAGACCTTGGGAAAATTGCAGCATATGAAATAATGTCTCAGACGGGTTGAAAGAAGACGTGATGCACTGAGACATGACCTTTCAGAGATGCATTTTTTTATCTAACCTTCATATTAAAGGTGCAGTAAGCAATATTTGAAAAACATTTTGACCACAGTGTCAGACCAAGTCCCAAAACAAACTTGTAGCCAATCAGCAGTAAGGGGCGTGTCTAGTAATGATCGGGATAAGAGAGCGCTCAGTGAGTGCACAGGTCGGATATTAGCAGATCGACTATAGATAGCGAGAGACGGCGGATAAAAAAAAGGGACAAAACATTAAAAAGAAGGGTTATGATCAGGCAACAGGTAGGACCCGTGTAAATATTGGGGCAGCTTTCCAGTGGTGGAGAAACTCAAGGAGCGTGTTTGTTTTGGTGATTTCAAATATCAACATTGTTTGGTAAAATTCGCTTAGTGCACCTTTTATGTGACTGGCACATCTTTTGGGGTGGGAAGAATGTGAGTGTTTTTTTGTTTTTTTTTAGTCTCTTAAGCTCACCAAGGCTGCATTTTTTAAATCACAGATATAGTAAAACAGTAATACTTTAAAATATTACAATTGAAAATGTTTTCTAATATGAGAGCTGTTGTTTTTGTATGTCTGAGTCTGATCCAGAGAACATGCTGTTCCCTTTTT